GGTGTTGGGTGCGAGGAGTGGTGTACCAGGCCTCACAGTGCTAGGGTTGCTCGCCTTACCCTGGTGTGGCTTATTCTTGTATAATGTCCTGTCCACAGCGCTTGTCTCAGTTGTGGAAATTTTTTTATTCTAAATAAATGCCTTAAAGCAATAACTTCTTTAAGGTCAAAAGAGATGCAAAATGCATTGAACAGAGTATGAAACAGAACTTTGTGCCCTTGCTTTGAGTAACTGTCTCTTTCATAGTTAAAAGGGGAGGAGAAGTAATAGTTGCTGATGAAAGAGGAGAAAAAACCCAACTTTTTTTCTTTATAACAGTTGATGAATCTGAACTTCTCACTGTGCCAGATGGGTGGAAAGAGCCAGCCTTTACAAGAGAAGATAATCCCAAAGGGCTGCTGGAGGAAAGCAGTTTTGCAACGTTATTCCCAAAGTACAGAGAAGCATACTTGAAAGAGTGCTGGCCGCTCGTCCAGAAAGCCTTGAGTGAACACGTATGCATACTTACTAATTGTGATACTATGTTTTATCTTGTGGGAGATAACAGCTGTTACTTAGGCTTATAAAAATAGTGCAAGTTGATTTTCGATTCTGTACGTGTGTATATTTCTACTGTGCTTGTTTCTTGTTTAGAAGCTACTGTGCGATTCTTGTTTAGAATTGGTAGTGTCATTTTTTTATTGTCATCGAAATCAGTGAAGGTCTGTGTAGCCAGACTTGGAGTTCTTTACAGATCCTGTCAGCAGAGTAAGTGTTTCATCATCTAGATGCTGACAACTTTGTTGCACTTGAATTCAAGGAGATGAGGGAGGTGGTGTTTTGGGCCTTGTGACAGATACATTCAGTCTCTTGTGTGTGTGTCTGTGTGTTAGTTTCCTCAAGCTGAAAGTCACTTTAGGAAATTTGGAAAATTTATCTGCATTCAGTATGTAATGTTCTGTTCGTTAACTTCTTACCACCAAAGATGAATTCTGAGGTTCTTTATTTAGAGATTGATTCACTATTTCTTTTCAAATATTGCAGTACGTGAATGCAACGCTGGATCTAATTGAAGGAAGCATGACCGTCACTACCACTAAGAAGACTTTTGATCCGTATGCAATCATCAGGGCTAGAGATTTAATAAAACTTCTGGCAAGAAGTGTTCCATTTGAACAGGTTTGTATTAAATCCTGAAAGTTTGTAGCAAATTCTATCACGATACTTAGAAAATAGTACGTTTTTAAAATGTGGGATTTCTCAAGTGAGTCAAGTAAAATAAAAAATATAAAGTAAATATATCTGAAAGTGAGGTGAGAAGAATAAACTGCAGTATTATCTTGACTCTTTTGAATAATACATTTGCATTCAGATGATGCTGCCCACTTGTCTTTTTAGGCAGTTCGTATCCTTCAGGATGATGTTGCATGTGACATCATTAAAATAGGCTCTCTGGTGAGGAAGAGAGACACTTTTATAAAAAGAAGAGGACGACTTCTTGGGCCAAAAGGATCTACTCTGAAGGTATTTCCAATAGGTGGAGTAACCAGAAAATTCTTAGACACAGATTTGTGTCAGGTCTTCAGTTTACACTTATTCATTTCTTTTTTTGGTGTAGGCCCTGGAACTGTTAACGAATTGTTATATTATGGTGCAAGGCAACACTGTTTCAGCTCTTGGACCCTTTAGTGGGCTGAAAGAGGTAAGGGAAAGCAGATAAGCAGTTTGTGTAGCATACTTCAGTGCCCAGCTTGAGGGCAGACAAGAGGCAACATAGGGCAACCTCAGGAGTATCTCACTGACTTTTCAGCTATGTGTTAGTAGGCTACTTTACCATGAACGTCCATAGTCTTAGCTGCTGAATTTTTTTTAGACACTGAGATCTTTCTGGCTTGGAAGTAAAAAAGTATTTCTGAAATGTTTTTTTTTTTAGCAAGAATTTTTGTAATTTCAGGTAAGAGATCTATGAGTGAAAGTACTGCAGAGTTAATGATACATAATGTTAAGGAACATCAAAAATTCTTAGTAATGATGTAGGAGAAGAATGCTTGTCAGAAGCAAAAGTTTCTTGTGACACCATAAAATCCAGGGTCACATGAAAGTGATGTTTGTGGAGCATGATGGAGTGTATTAGAAATGTGACAATGTTATTGGTATTTCTGAAGTGCTGTGCCTTCCAGTTAGCTATGTGCGTTAGCTTTTTAAATCTGCCTACTTTAGGGAAGTGGAGAGGAAGCATGATAGTATACTTGGTATTTTAATTCATTAGATTATGAAATACTTGCTGAGTTTTCTGTTCTTTGTTTGTTGTTGTTAATAATAATAATATTAAATACAGGTTAGAAAAGTTGTTCTGGACACAATGAAGAATATACATCCCATATACAACATTAAGGTTAGTGTGGTCCACTGTGCATCTTTATTTACAAGAAAGTACTATTTCTTCTCAGAGAGATGTACGTTAATAATTTACATGCTTCTGTGTGATGATCTATTTTTTAGAATTTCTGTACTGTGCTGTTTTAAAAAAAAACAACACACCTGACTTTGATATCCTCCATTTTACCAGGTTATATTGCCATAATATCCTTAACAGTATTTGAAAAAACATCAAAGGAAAAGTGTGTATAAAATTTCCTCTCTTTGATTACTAGCTTGATACTTGCTCATTTAAATTCAGGCACCTTCTCCAGTGCATTCTGTCCTCATTTTGACACACGCCTATCTTTCTGGTTCCTCTGTTCATAATTAAACCCCTCTGCTCTTACTGAAATGTGAGATGGAAGGTTCGGATGTAGCATATTCACTGTAAGAAAGTTTAGTAAAGCTTGTAGTTTGGTGTTCTTGGCTATTATAATATCATATATTATAATTATATGTAATATAATTAGTATAATACTATTTTTTTTAACAATTTCTTTGGGACATTCTAAAACTACTGAAGACTTTGATGATCAAAAGGGAATTATCAAAAGATCCTGAACTGAGGTCACAAAGTTGGGAAAGATTTTTGCCTAAGTTCAAGCGGAAAAACTTGAAAAAACGCAAGGAGCCAAAGAACAAAAATACTAAGAAGGAGTACACACCGTTCCCACCTCCACAGCCAGAAAGCCAGGTCAGCTGAAACTTTGTTGTCTTATGCAGGAATATAGCATGACTTGAAATCCTGTTCTTGTTAACAGGAGGTTGAGAGGCCTTTTCTGTCAAATTCTGATTTCCTGATGCTATACATCTGGCTATGCTGTATAATTACCTAAAGCGTCTCGATAACTGTCTTACTCAGGTTGATAAAGAATTGGCAAGTGGTGAATACTTCTTAAAAGAAAGACAGAAGAAACGAAAGCGAGTGGCAGAGATAAAGGTAAAGTTGTTCTAACCCACTGTTCAGTTAAAATCCACGTCAACAGTCAAATGCTTTTTTTTTTTGTTTGTTTGTCCCTTATGCCCTGCTGTGCTTATATTTGACCTTTTTATTGGCAACTGTAGGCAAAGCAAGCAGATGCAATCAAGAAAAGACAAGAAGAAAGAAATAAAGCTTTTATCCCACCAAAGGAAAAGCCAATTGCGAAAACAAAGAAAGGTAACCATTTATTTTTTCCTCTTCTATAACCTTTTGCTGTTGATTCCTAGACTGAGTGATTTTGCAGAAGTACAGCTGTAGAAAATAAGAAAAATGCAAAAAAAATCCTAGTGGTTAAGTCCATGCCTGGAGTTGCCAGGGACAGTAGAGAGATCATGCAGCCCATAATTCTGTACCTATAAAATGATAGTTCTCTAGAACATTTTCCTGATGGGAGATACTGGGGCAGCCATCTGAGTTAGTTTTTCTGGCTACATCAGTTTTTGACTTTCAGTCTTGTAGTGAAGCTGCCATAACTTTTGCACTCAGATGGTTTTTCTGTTAAGAAAAAGAAGCCTGAAAGCAATACTTGGAAACTTGTTCCACAAGTAAGTATTGGTATAAGATAGGATAAATAGCTTTTCTAAAAGTTAAAGTGAAACCACACTATATGCAGAGTAAGAACTTGTGTTCTTAGATGATTTGGTTTTTATGCACTGGAGAAACAAGTCGTCTGTTTTCTTGGATTCATCGATTATACTACATATTCAATTTATTAGATGTAGTATGTACGTTTTGTATTAGATATACTACCTACGTATTATTACACTATATATTGCATAGTTTGTTATGAACTGAAAAGCTCATGTTTCTCGAAAAGCATATGTGTTTTGCAGCTTTGACAGTACTTTTTTGTGATGGCAGTAAATTTTCAATAATCCTGCTATTGACTGTATTGTATCTCAAATACTGTGCTTTTCTAATTGCTGTGAGTTTTGACCTCAAATCCTTCAGTCTTCCAAGAATAAATGACAGCAATAGTTTGTATGTAGAGAAGAACCAAGATCCAAGCAGGAGAGCTGGTACCCACAATGAGATGTAGGAATTAACTGTGTGAGATAGAAGAGTTAGATCCAACCTCATGACTCATGCCCAAAAGGGAAAATACCATCACCTAGATGAACATAGGAGTAGGGTATTCATGTTGCTCAGCATGAAGTGTTACTTAAGTACGCTGGCACTCCCTGTAGAAGTCTTTTCTAAAGGTCTTCATGCAGGGCTCAGATCTAAGATCTGTATCATATTCCCTCAGCCCACCCCATGCTGTTTCTGACAGCGAGCGTTAATGGGTGGCCAGGGGAAGAGTAAAGAGTGTAAGGATGGGACAGGCATATTTGGGATCTTGCCACCTTAGTTCCATGCAAAAAGACAAAATGCCAGGAAAGCTCCTCCGGGTGTGAGAACTCAGTAATTAATTTCTTCTCTTCTTACGTGAGACCAACCAAGCCAATCGGCCTATGTCCACGAGAGCGTGTATGTATTAATTTTGGAGGAGTACATCTGTGGTCTGAGGAGTGGGTGATAATAGTTTGCATGTGTGCAGTGTGTGGCATCTGTGTTCAAAGGCAGTTGCATAGGATTTTTTTATATGACCGTTCTCCTTTGAATTCTGCTGAAATTGATTTGTGGATAATACTAGTTTCTACAAAAATGATTACTAGAATAGTTTATAAAATCATTAGTGAACATAAAATGAGTCCAGTGCCACATGATGCAGTTTACTGTGTTTACATATGAAGTCATCTTACAGACTATTAAAATGTAGAAAAAGTAGAATTCATGTCTGTTGTCTTTGTGGTTTTTTACTATGTAGCTTCCACTGAGAAAAAAATTGATATTGAAGCTATCAAGGAAAAGGTAAAGAATGCAAAGAAGAAGAAATTAGGAGCACTTCCTGTGGAAGAAGTCAAGTTAAAAATTGCAGCAGATGAAAAGAAAAAAAAGAAAAAGTAGTAGTTTACCACCCGAGATGCTCACTTTTCTCCTCCATTAATGAACATTTTCACACTTGGAAGATTTGAGACTTCTTGCTGTCAGTATAATGTGGACAAGAAAAGACTAGGTAGGAAGACATTCTCATTTTGTAAGTACACTTTAATTAGTGGACCTAAAGCAGCTGTGCAGAATGGTCAAGGTTGGTGAAGAAAATCTGCACTGCTGTGTTGTTTGAGAAAAGTAAGAGAGTGTACATGGATTAATATCCATCTGCCTAAAGGGAAGGTTTCGTAATAGAAACACTTAAGAGTTTGATGCAGAATGTTAAACACTGGTGTGGGAGTTTAAGGTAATTCTTCTATGAAAGACTACCAGACTATACGCAGCCTCAGTTATGGTGATAACATTTGCAAAATGGGTCAGATTTATTACTGTATTATGTTTTTGTTTCTGTAAAAGCTGATTATTTTTGTGTGTCTTGTCTTGGTGTTAATAAACTATTTTAATACATTGTTCTTAAATCCTTTTATTAGTCATTTACTGTACAACCTACATGTTGTTTTCCAGGAAACAAGCTCACAGCTTCATGTGAGAAGTAGGCAAATTATAATCTTAATTGAATGCCATTAATAAACCGTCATTTATTAGCATTATCCTGGAGGTTGTTAGACAGAATGTGGTACAAAGCAAGTATCTTTCCACACAGAATGTGCTGCAGGGAAAGCACAAAGTCTTGTTGTCTTTCTTTAAATATATTCTTAAATGTCTTCTGGATTTCAAGAAAGTCTTAAGAAAGAAATTGTGTTCCTTTCTTTTTTCTTTTTTTTTTTTTTTTGAAGCCCTTCCCCCTTTTTAAAGGAAGCTTAGGTGTTTTTAGTTTCCTGAAAATGTAAATTGTGATGTGATAAAGTTCACCGGAAGAGCAGATGTGGCTTATTTCATACATCTGAGATTAAAGAAGCAAATGCAATAGTCAGGAGGTGGTATATCCACACCAATTTCAGGACTGTGTTGGAGTGCTTTTGCCAGGCTTTGGAATTTTGATCACCTGCATGTGCAGTGGAAATGATTATGCTAGAACATTGCAACTCGCTGCTTTTAGGTTAGTGACCTTTTATTTGAAACTAGTAAGTGAAAACACAGCCATTTCCTTTTTTGCATATATAAATAAGAATTTAGAATATATGTGGTTAAATAGCCGGTATGTGTGCATTGAGAAATAGCAAAGATGCTTGCTCTTTAGGGTAGGGGACAACATTAGCCTTAGTGTGCCTTTCAGTTATGTGATCACTTCTTGGCACCTAATTATTAAGGAAAGAACACTCTCAATCCTTCTAAGGACTGCATTGTTGATAAACGGCAGTTTAATTACTTGTGGAATCAATCAGGAAAATACTTCAACAGATACTTCACTGAGAATATGATCAGTAAGTCACAAGCACACATCCTGGAAACTGCAGTGAGCTGATGGGTTTAGTGATACCAGCACAATGCACAGCTTTTTAGAAACACCAGCTGGTGTTTAGCAGTTGATGATGTACAGGGATGACTTAAGTTCAGTACCAGTCAGGTATTTCAAACCTCTCATACAGTGAAAGGACTAATTTCAACAGGAGGCACTGCAAAAACTTGAGTTTAAACAGCTGTTCTGGCAGCGTGATCCCACAAATGAGTGCTTTAACAGAAGAGCCTCCAGAGCTAGAAGCCCATAAGGAGGAGTCTGACTGTAGCCAGGGAAGGAGCGTGAGTGTATTAGGGGAGGGAGAGTCCTTGTTTCAAATCTGGACTGGACAAGGCCCCTATCACTGCAGAGGACTGGCACAGGTGTTCCTCTGTTGTTCAAAAAGGTAAAATTAAAACCAAGTGTAGGGCTGGTTGCCCTACACCGGTCTGACAGGCTGGCATTTCATGTCAGGAATCTGATCTAGCTGAAAGCGCCCTACAAAAAAGTGTTTTCCTGCTGCATCGGCTAACTGCTTGGTTGCCTGCATTGCAGGGCAGGAAACAGTAGCTCAGCTTGATGGCAGCCTGGCCTTAAATTATATATACATCCATGGAAGTGTGCTCTTTTTAATTCAAGACCCACAGCTGAGGCATCTAGGTGGCTTTTGCATCAAATCCCTATCCATAGTAAAACTCTTCACAGACTTCAGGGCGTCTTGTCCTATTGTTATGGGGTAAAAAGGCTTTGCCTTGTGTTCAATCTTTTTCAGCTGTCACGGTTGACAGGTCTCAAGGATTGTTGGTTGGACATTTATTTACTTAAACTGGAAAATCAAGAAAGCCAACTCATATTACTGTAGGCAAGTTAAATCAAAGGATATCAAAGGATTTGTCTGCTTAGAGTCCATATCTGAACAGTAACTGGCTGTGTGGGCACTGTTCGTGGTTTTTGCACCTCTTTTCTGAGAGAATATGGCTATACAGTTCAAACGCTTATATAAAAAGCAAAGAATAGAAAACAAAATGGATTGGGAAGGGTGCGAAAGTTTTTTTGGTATTTTCAGACACAGCTTGAACTATTGCAAATTATCTCATTAAACTGATTTTAGAGTTTAGAAACTTGCAAAAAAAGTACCCAAAGGCTGTATTTATATATCAGTGTTTTGCATTTATCATACGGAATTCATGGGCATATGCCAGAAGATAAACGTGGACAACTCAAATTAGTTTGATCATCAGGAGTTAAATGGATGTCCTTAAAATGACATGCAATACTTATTTAGTTTTGACCTTTTGACTTTCAGGCTTTTTTTGTTTGAAAGATACCGTGTTGTAAACTTATGGATTTTTTCCCCTAAGCCCCAGTGATTTACAGGTTTTTTAATTAAACTTTTTCTATGGTATTTCCTTAGAGCTGTTGACCTATAAAGTTCAATGACAGTGTTGTGAATGTTTTGAACTTTAAGGGATCTGTGTTCGTTCTGTTTACTCTCCTGGAGACCAAGCATAGACTAAACTATGCAGGGGAGAATTCCTTCTGAGCTCGTTTTTGCTCCCTGGACCCAGCAGTGTGTGCCCTTCCCTCTCCTGCGGTTCTCTTTGCAGTAGTAGGATCTAACTGCACGTGACTTCAGTGGGGCAGACCCTGTGCCAGGCTTTTTGCTGGAGTGGGAGCCCTTATGCAAGAAACTTTGGGTCCCAGTTCCAGGGTTTTCAGTTAAGATCCACCCCAGTAGCGGGGTCAGGAGTGGCTATGCAGAAGCGCTGGCAGGTACTGCAGGGGCAGTACCCTAGAAATGAAGCAGCGAGGGGAGCTTCCCGGCTTTCTTTACATAAGTGTGCAACCGTGCTCTGCAGAGGGGCCTGGCATGGAGGCATCTCAGCCCGCCTCCGAATAGATATGGATCGCTACAGTCCAGCTGTGAGCTTGTGCAGCTCTGCTCCTTCCAGCCTCCACTAGATCTGGGCGACTGCGGTCAGCAGAGGACATGCCCAGCTGAACACAGCAGCCATCGCTGCTGCTTTCTGCCTGCTCCAGATGCGCGGCTTGCAGGAGACTCCTCCCTTGGCAGCTGTTGAACCAGAGGCATAACTATGGGCACAGCATGATTTTAGTTGGCATTTTATGCAATCTCCCAGCCTTGTGTTTCTCAGCATTGTGCAGGTTGGAGCTGAATGTGAGTTTTTTTCATGCATCAGCAGTTAAGCTTTAGATCATGTTGCAAATAGACGATTGCCATACATGGGAAGCAGAAAATAATGATTTATTTGAAACAGCAGTCAAAACCTCTATGCTCAGACAGAAGGAAAAAAGGAACAATTGTGGTTATACATAATCATGTGTAAACACACATGAAACTATGACTTGGCACAGATGACGCGTTTAAAACCAAATTCTGAGCAAAGAGAAGCACCAGTGTCCCCAGTGCACTGCAAGACTGAGAAGTGCACTGCCTGCCCCAGGATGCAAATGCCAGAGCTCACAAGGGTCCAAAAATTCTTAAAAAAAATGTTGAAATGAAAACTTCTCCAGGCTACTGTGCATCTTGCTGGAGAAGTGTCCAAGGACAGAGGACAATAGGAACAAGAGCAGTGTGTGCTCTGCCTGGGGCCTCGGCCAGGGGTGGGTGCCCTCCAGCACCTTCCTAAGCAAGCATGGCAGGCAGCTGCCTGCACCTCAGTGTGCTGCCTGGGCAGCATGGTCCCGTACCCACCGGATCCTGCTCACACCACTCCACTTTGAAAAAATACATGGGTAATTTAAAACCAGTTATTGGTTCTGGTTCCTCTTATTCAGCAATGAGAAAGCTGCTTATCAGCTCTTCTAGCTGCTGCCTGAAACGAAGATAGTATTTCTGTACTTCTAAATCACCTGTGGATGCACATGAAGTCTCTACCGATCTTTTTGCTGCCAAGAACTTATGTGTGGGGAAGGGATGAGTTGATCTAAGTGCTCTCGTGGTCTTCTGCATGTGTGTCACTCATTGGCAGGTGCTATAGACCAGTATTTTGGTAGGAGCCAGGTGGCCAGAACTGTCAGTATCAGGAGTAACAGCCTTAAAACAATAACGGTGATGCAGTACTCGTCACAGGCAGGTCTGTCCCAGTCTGGATGCCACCTGGAATCACCTATGAACAAAACAAGTTACTTGTTTTCAAGTATAACTGCACCAAGGGCAACAAAGGGAAGCAGTAACTCTGGTGATACTTACTAATGACTTTATCACGCTCTGTGTTTTCTGGAGAGAGAAAAGAAGTGAATGTCAGCAGACTTACGCATAAACAATGGGAGTCTAAGCAAAAGGGAATGAAGTGTGAGCTCCATGATGGGCTCACAAATAAAGCTATGGCAGCTGTGTTTCTGTCCAGGATGAAGCAAAGACCTGCTGAGGAGCACTTGGTCACCGTGTTGACTTCTCCCCCTCAGCCAGTGGCTGGTGTAGAGAGACCTCATTCCCCCAATCAGGCTTCATAAGATCACTTTGGGTTTTGCCCAGCGCCTTGTGTTTAAGATCCATTGCCTGTAGCTTACGTTAAATAGTCCTGTCTGTCAGGGACTCCCTCTCCTTCCTGAGGTGCTGGCGTTTGAATGCCACCTTCCCGCTCCGTTAGTTCGTTGGGGTGGAGTGCCAGGGAGAAGCGTGACCATACCCTCAGCTCCCCCCTGGGCAGATGTCCACACCACAGTGCCTTGTCCTTCTTATGGGAACTGCAGGTGGTCTCCACCCCTCCTGACTCCGTCTGGCCATCACAAAGCCAAGGGCAGGCGAAATCGGGTGGGCTGCCGGGGGCTCAGGCTGAGCACCACATCCCTGTGAAGGGCTCTCACACCTGCGCAGGGCACATTGGCCTGGCTCCCTCCCAGTGCTTAGGGGAAAGCAGATGGCCTGGCTGATGTTCGGTGGAGCGAGCAGCTTTGGCAGTGCCATGGCAGCGCTCCCCTCCCACAGCGGCACGGTGGGGGCAAGGCTCACTTGGACCTGCACCAGCTCAAGCCGCAGCTCATGCACCAGGTTATAACCTGGAGCCCCCGGGAGGGGATGTGTAGCCCCTTCTGTGCTACCTGTTTCTGCAAGCAGCAACTTCTGGCAGGTGTAGTAACACCTTCAACTGCAGCCACTACCTCTCCTGTATCGTACCCTGCAGCATCCAAAGAGCAGACCCCATCCCATCACTCCCCAAGGCAGAAAACAGGCTTTTTCCGCCCTCCTCCCCTCTCTTTGCGCATCACTGCTCACTTGGCTTCTGACTGCAGGTTTTCAGGCTATATTTAGGAACAGGACAGCACCGTGCCTGCCTCCTG